AGGCAGAGATGGCAGAACAAGCGCCAGCAGCTCCAAGCCCAGCCAGGGCACTTCCCCATGCCAGGAGGTACAACCGGCTGAAGGGGACCCCACGGGAATGTGTGTTACCATCCAACCTCCACCCTCCCCGAACCCCGCAGTCCTCACACAGCGCCCCGACAGGTGCCCGCTCTGGGGCCTGCCCGACCGGCGAGCACCCGCACAGAGCGAGGCTGGCACGCGGCCACCGCCCTGCGGGGAGAGCGGACCACAGCAGGGACATCCGATCACGCTCTCCGCTCCGGCGTGCTGACCTGCCACCAGCCAGCCCCCTCCCCACCTGGGGGCGGGCGGAAGGAAGGAGGAATGCACCCCCCCCAAAATGCCAAATCAAGGCCCAGCCAGAAGTCCCACGACAGAAGTAAAAGGGAAGGCCTGTATTGCCCCGGGCCCCTGGCATTGATCCTTGTACCAGCTCCTCTGAGGCCAGCACCCCGCTCCCTGGAGGAGGTGGCTCTGAAGGGACCTTTTCCTCCCCTCAGATCCCCTGACTTTTCGGCTCGTCGGTCAGAGCAGGCAGGGAGGCTGCAGGGCTGGCATGGCCTGGCTCCCGCACCCCTCTTCTCCAGTGCCTCCCTTCAAGGCCCAGGGTGGCATCCGCTCAGTCCCCCCCACCCCCACCCCTGGCTCTAGTGTTGCCAAGCGACAGACGTCACCATATAGTCATGATTGGACATCCAGTAAAAAAATCACAGAATAAATAGACATGGGGGAAGGGACATGTCAGCCATGCCCCCCAATCCCCGCAGGCAGTGACGTCCTCCAGCTCCACAGCACCCCCTCCTGGAGACAGGTGCCCCCTGCACCCACGCAGTCCGATTCCCGGAGATGGGCTCTCTCTCTTCACAGTCAATACAGCAGGGGGTATGAGGCGTCGCTTGGCTCCCCCGGGCGCGATCAGAGTCAGGACAGGCCCGGCGCAGGGGCCGCCGTCCGCTCCCGCCCCTCAGTTGATGTCGTCGTAGATGCTGGGGGTGGGGGGCGCGGGCGGTTTGGGTTTCTTCTTCTTGCTGGAGCTGAGCCCCGGCGTGCCCCCCACCAGGCTCAGGTGCGGCTTCTTCTTTTTGGTTTTCCGCGACTCCGAGTTGTTCGTACCTGGGCCGAAGGGAGAAGAGGGAACGTGAGCCCCATGTTCCCCCCCACCCCAAACCAAAGGGAAAAGCCCCGCTCCCCAGGGGAGCAAGTTGGGGGGAAAGCAGAGGGGTTTCCTCCTAACTGGGGGGAGGAAGGGCAGCCTGCCCCCTCTCCCGAGGGTACGGTGGACCGTGGAGCTGCCCCGATTCCTCAGGGCACGTCTCCCAGGACCCCGGCAGCCGGCTGAGACCCCCACCCCCGGGCCCCAGTTCTTACTCGCTTTCGAGGAGGCCGAGTCGGAGGGCGAGATGTCCGAGGAGCCGTCCCACTGCAGCCGGCTCATGATGGCCTGGCTCTCCGACACGTCAAAGCCCTCGTTTTCCACGCTGCCCTCTGCCTCCGGGAGCGAGCTGGGGGGGGCACACAGGAGAGGGGTCACAGCCATCCACACATCCCTTAGCCGCACGCAGCAATCCCCCCACCCATCCCCCACCCCACCAGGCAACGGGTTCCCCTGCAGAGCGAGGGGAGCAGGCAGATGGGGCCAGGGAGGTCTCAGGGGGAGGAGATGTGCTCTGGTGGGACTGGGCACCAGCGAGGCCTCAGGATCTGCCCCCTCCCCCCCGGCTTCTGCTGTTCCATTTGTTTTGGGGTGGGGGTAACAAACAAGGGTGCTTTGGTTCTGAGCATTCCTCAAAGGGTCCCCCTCCCTCCGCTGCCACCAGGCCAGTCCTCGGAGCCAGGTTTTGGCTGTGGTGGAAGCGGAGTCCAGGTGGCCCGGGTGGGGAGGGAGCCACACAGCCCTGCCCAGCTCCTGCAGAGAGCCCTACCCTCGGGTCCTCCTGCTGCTCCCTAGAGCCCTCCAGAATCAGCTCCTCTCTCCTCACACTGCTTCAAGCCTTCTGCTGGCGCCCCCCTCACTTGGAACAGACTCCCTCCTTCCAGGAACCGAACCCCACCCCCAGCCAGTCTCCGAAACCTCTCCCCTCCGTGCGCCTTCCTGGGCTGCTGTCCCACATTCAGTCACCTGCCTCCAACCTGGGACAGACATTCCCCAGGGCCACCCACACGGCACTGGGCAAAGTCCCCACTAGACCTGGGGCCGAACAAGGGCTCATCTGGGGGAGCGGCTGCCCCTGCTGTCTGCGCTCGGCTGAGGTCCAAAGACACCAAGCCAGGGCCTCGCTCAATGTCTCCTCGAGACGAGCCCACCGGGGCCCAGAGAGCTGGCACTGCATAGCCCGGCCTGGAGGCAGCAGGCCCAGAGGAGCTTTTTTCATCTCCCACGGGCACGTCTCGGCTCCGCTTGTGTCTGATCGCACTTACGCAGAGGGTCCAAGGAGGTAGACCCTGACTGACCTCCGCTGCTCGTCTGTATGCTGGGGGCAGCGCAGAGACCTGCGGGGACACAGGAGTTCAGAGGTCTGGAGCGCACAGTGGCTTTTGTTCCCCGTCCCTGTACTTTCCACAGCCCTACCCTTGCTCCCGGGCGGCCTCCCTGCACCCCAGAAAGTCATGCTTGGGGGGTGGGGGGGTAATTCTTGCCAGTAACTCAGCAACAGCTGCTCCTAGGACAGGAGGAGACGACCCCCCCACCATGCAGTCCCAGGCTGCAGCGAGGCCAAGCCACCTGAGCAAACGTTTCGGAGGGTCCCTGAGTAGGACACAGAGACCCAAGGCGGCGCTCTCACCTGGTGCACATCTTCTTGGTGTGTTCGGAGATCACCCCACATTGCTAGAGAGAAAACAGACGGGGTGAGCAACCGGAGGTGTCCCAGCGCAGAGGTATTGCTACGTGGGGTTTTCAAAGACCCTTAACGTGGGAAGCTTCCTTGGCAACCAGAGACACAAGGTTCCCCCTGGTTCCGGGGGCAGCCCAGAGCTTGAAAGATTTCACTCCCCAGGGCAGCCTTCCATCTATGGTTTAATGCAGCCCTATCTTCCCTAGTCTGCAGCAGGGCAGCCCTAGTGCCTCTGCTGCTGCTGCTAAGAGTATTCCCCAAGCAGCTGCAGCGTGAAACCAACTAGACTGGTCAGTTTTGCTGCTGCTATTCCCAGTCCAGCAGGCAACGGTGGCCGGGGTAAGCAGCAAGACATCAATTTCATTGCTGCAGAGGCAGGTCAACTGCATCGGAGGTAGGCAGCGTTTGAACAAGGAGCAGTGCCCAAGAGGAAAGGCTTGGGCGGGGGAGACTCCAGACACAGGAGTAGCCAAGACCCCCATCCCATGCAGTCAGGAAGCCGAGGGCAGGCAATGTAGCTGCAAGTTTATCAGATGCTTCCTAGCTACAGGCTGATATTAAAGACGAGGGGCTCTACCAGCGAAAAACTCCTGGGGATGGCGAAGGAGGTGTGGGGATTTTTACTCGGACAACCTCCCTGGACCCTAACTCATGGGCTCCGTATCCCCCAAGCAGGGATGACGGCCTCTGGAGCAACCTAGCAATGTTCCCCGCACTCTCTGGCTAGTTGGACTGCTGAAGCCCCAAGCAGAGTGGGAAGGCCACGCAGCAACTGCAGAACAGCGCTGTCAGGCCACAACGCAAGTCAGCAGGGACAGAACCCAGGAGCCCTGGCTCCCAAGCGGGGCGAGATTCCTTTCCGTCGTCGGTACAGCTCCGGCCCCAGGGGCTACTCACCGTGGTGAGCAACGAGCGGAGCTCCTCGGGACCCAGCGTTTCGTAGTTGATTCCAGAGGAGTTGCTGTACTGCAGGGAGACACGAGGGTGACTGAGTGTCACAAGCACTGTCAGGGGTGCAGCGTGAGAGCACTGTAGCCCCTAACCCCGATCAGGGCCCCAGAGCTGTGTAAACCAGCCGAGGGGCGGGAGGGGAATTGAGGCACAGGGAGGGGAGGGGACTTGCCCATGGTCACCCAGCAAGCTAGTGGCAGACCTGGGAATAGAATCCAGGTCTTCTGAGTCACAGGCCAGCGCTCTACCCACTGGGCCATGCTGTCCCCCCCCATCCATCTCCCCTCCCGACATGGATTCGCACCTACACTCACCTTAAAGGGATCCGAGTTCCCGCTGAGCTCCCCTGAAAAGAGGACGAGATGGTGAGACACATGACGCAGCTGTCTGTCACTTCGGGCGAAGGGAGAGATGGGGACTCCAAGGCCAGCCATGCTCCCACCCTCCCTGCCCGGGCCTGGAGAGCCACCAGGCAGCCTCTCCTCGGGCAGCCCTGCGTGCGTCCCCAGGGTGCTGGGTGGAGCCCCTAGGAAGCCAGTCCCTGCCCCAGGGACCTCTGTCTCAGCCAGGCACAGCTGGGGGGCGGGAGGGGAAGAGGAAAAGCTTGGGAGGGGCTCCCAGGAGAAGCGGGTTTAGGGGGCATGAGAGAGGCCTGGGGGGGAAGGGGGGGATGGAGGGCCCAGCATGCAGGAGGAGGAGTCGGGAACGGCGGAGGGAGCAACGGCAGAGCCTGCAGCTGGGCATGGCAGGAAAGAGGCAGCCAGCGGGGGCATTCGGGAAAGGCTGGGGGAGGTGTGGGGCAGCAGGAACCCCTGCCCATCCCCCCCTCCTTGAAGAGGAGCTCAAGCCAGCAATCATCTCGAGCCCCCCGCCCTGGGCGTGAGCACGGGGTGCCCTGGAACTGCCGGCAGAGTCCATTGCAACCCCACATGCCCAGGGTTCAGGGGCAGCGCCGCTTCTCCGGTGGGGAGCCCCAGACCCCGGTGACCCCCGGGGGGGATGGGACACAGCTCAGAGAAAGGGGCAGACTGTGCTGGGGCTCTCCAGGAGTCCAGGCAGCAGCTCCGCGGCCCAGAACCAGACCCACACGGTGTATTCTCTTGGGGTACAGGTGAGGAGCTGGCCAGGCCTCACCCAGCAGCCCGCTGGCTTCCCCATGGGCTCGCCCCAAGGAATGCCTGCTGCAGGCTAATGCCCTGCCCTGGTACTGCTCCCCTTTCCAGCATCGCACATCCCAGGCTTCCCCAGCACATCGCGGTTGCCCTGCCGCGCGGCTCAGGCCAGATCGGGTCCCGCCTGCCGCCGTCATGGCAGGGCTTGGCTGCCCCGCAGAGACATCAGGCCTGTTCCCAGAGGCAGTGGGGAACGCCAGTCCCAGCTGGCCCAAGCCCCGCCCCCTCACCAAGATGCCCCGCCCCCTCGCCACTTACCATTTTTGTGTTTTAAGGATTTCGATCTCCGGGGCGAGTTGGGGTTCTGGAATAAGAAAGACACAGACGCTTTGGGGAAGAGGAAGAATGAAGCGGGGTCTGAATGCACCTTGCCTATCCCCTTCCCTGCCCAGCCCCTGGGATCTGGTCATTCACATCCACAACCCTCACCCTGGTTATTCAAGGGAACGCGCTCACCTGGGACCAGAACTAGAGGGGCCAGCGAGCCACCTGCTGATGCCGGGGGCTTCCTCCCCCCCAGGAACAGAGCTGCTGTGTCCTCACACCCCTGACTGCTTCCTTCGCTCTCTAGGAACTAGGCTGCAACTCACACACCCCCCCCGCCCATTTACCCCACTGATCCCTCTTCCCCGCCCTGCACTGATCTCTTACCCCCCCGACAGACTAGCAGGAGTCGACAGAGCCAGCCGTGCAAACATGGCGCTAACCAGGAATGTTCGTGGGAGCCTCCCAGAGCATCCCGTGCCCGGGCGCTGCAGACCCGTGCAGGGAACTGGCCCTGGCAACTGTAGCAGGAAGTGCTGGGGCAGCGCACACAGAAAGTCTCGCTCCCTGATGCAGCCACGGGTCCAAACAGAGCATGGCCTCCCCGCCCCCACCACAGCAAGCAATGAGCCGAGCTGCCGGCCACTCCCTGCACCCGCAATGGGCACTAGAGACAGCATGGGGCATGCAGATCAGGGCAGAACCATGCTCCCGGGCCAACCTTCCCTTGCCCCGCTGCCAGTACGTACCCTGCAGACCTCACGCACCTGACGCCAGCCTGCGTCCCAGAGCTCACAGCTGCTGGTTCTCCTCCCCCACCCCATCACCCCCGACCCTACATCCCCTCCCCCAGACAGCACGTACCTTATCGGATTTCCTCTTCTTTGCTAGGAAGGGAGGAGAAAGGAATACTGTTCTTTAGCCTTAACAGTGCCCCCATCACAACATCCAAACCAACCTTGGAGAGCCAGGCTGAAAAGGCCCCGGTCTGTCGGAGCGGGGCGGGAAATGGGGATGGGACAGGATGGCCAGAAGGGACCGAAAGCCAAACCCCACGCTGCTTTTAATCCTTTCGGCGCCGGCCCGCACCACCACCCTGCCGCAGCCGGGCTAGGCGGCTCCCGAGGGGCACGAAACGCAGCCACAGACTCTCTCGCTCTGCCAGGTGCTTAATGCGCCTCTCGGCCTGGTGTCCACGTGGCCAACAGACTCCCCAGCTCAGCCGGCTGCCCGAGGATGTTGGGTAACCGGCAGAGACGGGCTGGGGTGCAGGGGACAGAACGCAGAGCCAGGGGGGCACCGGAAAGAGGCCGCACAAAGACCACCCCCAAGCGAGGAGCTATGAGAAATTATTTCCCAGACCCCCATGTTGAGGCAAGACTGGGCTGGGACTCAAGATTGGGGATCACTTCCTGGCTCTGCTCCAGACCCCCCCTGTGACCTTGGGCACAAGGGGCTGGGAACAACGTCTGCTCCACTGATGAGCAAGTCACAGGCAGGCCCTTTAGTGGGGCTGCCAGGCTTAAGGTATGGGGGGTAGGAACCCCATTACCTCTCACACTGCCCCTCACCATGGCTCCCCGGGGAGGTCTGTCACAGCCCAGCCCACTGGGTGTCAGGGGCAGGGTGATCCGGCCCCTTACTGCACAAAGACAGAACCTCCCACCCACTCGCCCCGCACCTCCACCCCCAGCCCCGCTACCTTTCTTCTCAGAGCCGTAGGACCAGTCGTTATCGTTGATGTCATCGTTGTCCTCTTGGTCGCTCTCGGATTTGTTCATGTTGTTGCTGCTAGCGATCCTATTGGGGGCGGGGGGGGGAAACAGACGTGAGCTCCGGAGGCCTGCCTCCCACCCCGCAGCAGACAGCCTGAGGGACGCCCAGTCACCCCACAAAACTCCACATCCACAGAGATCAGCAGAGGGGGAAGGAGGGTCTTGAGCAACAAGCCAACTGCAAGAACTGGGGGGGGGGGCACCGGGGGGGGGGGCGAGGGGTTAAATACAGTGCATGGCGGTTTCACAAATTTTAAGGTTTTACAAAAAACTATGTGAATTGCAATTAGGGAAATAGGCGTCAGGACTCCTGGGTTCTGTTCCTGATTCTGGGAGGGGGGCGGGGGCCAGCAGTTCGCAAACGAAGAGGATCAAGACGGGTTTTGTTCCCAGCTCAGAGAAGGGAGGGTGGCCTAGTGGTTAAGTCAGGACTCCTGGGTTCTACACCCAGTTCTGCCACAGACTCACCAGAACGCCCTGCTAAGGTTTCCCCAAGTGGGGATACATGCGTTACAGGGTGCGGGCTCGGTGTCCGTGACCCCTTTGCGGTCCGGTCTGTGGCCACAAAGGGCTCGGTGATCGGCAGCCGCTGCTCCCAGCCCCCAGCCGCCCTCACCTCCTGTTGGCTATCCGGCTGCTGTTCCGGCCCATCCCCAGACACTTCTCCAGGTGGGGGGCGAAGCGGGAGGCAGCGATGCTGCGGCTGCAGTTCGGACACACGCATTCCTTATTCTTCCACTGGTTGTAGACCTGGCCGAAGATATCCACGCCAGGCTGGTCCACGATTTCTGAGAAAGAGGGGGGCACAAGCGTCAGCCCTTCTGGTGCCACGGGACAGGCACGGACCACCTCCGCGGGGGGGCCCAGCAGCGTCCACCGACACGTCCCTGAGCCCTCACCCCAGCCACACAACACTCCAGCTTGCTCAGAGAGTCTCCACGACAGCTCAACTTTCACCCACCTCAACAGCAAGCCAGCACCCGGCCCTGGGGAGATACCGAGAGCCCCCTGCTCCCACGGACTCCAAGCAGACTCAGGACACAGAGTAAGTTTGAGATCTCTAGGCAGCCAGGCTTCCAACTCCACCTGGGGTCTGGGAATACGTACAGCACCTGGCACCATGGGGGCCGGTCTCAGGATGAGCTGGCCCTCTAAGGGGGTGGGGCTCTGCCACATGCATGCTAGGCATAGCCCAGCTCCCCAGGATAAATGCAAGGGCCGCGGGATGGGGAGCAGGTGATGACCAGCAAGGCCTGCCGAGGGATACCAGGGCACCCTTGTGAGTGTGCGTGGGAAGAACAGCCAGGAAAGGGCTAGTAGAAAGGCCTGGCTAGGCTGAGTAACCCTCCAGAGCTCCTTGGCAGAAACCAGCCTCCCAAGATTAACTGGGGAGGGAGGGGAAACTGAGGCAAGAAGGGGCCCCCCGAAGCCCGACCGGAAAAGCGCTACTCCAGAGCCCAAGCTCGGTCGGGGCTCGTACTCGAATACGGATACATAGCAATAGGGTGGCAGAATCCACTCCAGCTCCCTCTCCTGCGGCAGTCGCAGGGGAAAACTTGTCGTTTGTTTCAGTAGCTGGGACCCCAAGGAGCCGTGAGCTGAGAAGAGGCTGTTTTTACACAGTCGCTTTTCTGATTACAATAAAAACTCCCCTTCCAGCCTCACTAACAAGGTCAGTTTAAGAGCCAGTCCCCAGACAGCCCCCCCCCCGCCACTGCATTTTGAGGCTACAGAAGTGGAGGTTCTCCTGCTGTCCTGCAAGAGTCCCCCCGCCCCCGAGAGAGAGATCCTATTAGCACAGCCAACGCCCTGCGTGTATTGATGCCTCCAGGTGACTTTGCCCTAGATTTTGTCAGGCAAATGAAAGTTTCACCGAAAGGCCAAGTTTGAGGTTTAGATACATTTCTATTGTCTGACCCTTCGCTACCCAATCCAAGCCCCCCAAGTGTGTTAAGGTTTCTGCATAACCCAATATGAAGTGGCACACTTGGGAATTTCTCTTTAAACCGGTTTCTCACTTCACCCCAGGAAGAGGGACTGGCGCAGGAGCCCAACCTGACTGCAAACACGTCACGCTTTTTAAAGGCACAGTCAGTGAAGACGGGCAGATTTCTTTGGGATCCCCCCCCGGGGCCCATCGCTCGGTGGCATGGAACCCAGGAAGCGAGTGCGCTGATCAACCGAGCCATGCAGCTGCCCGGAACAGCTGCAATGCACGACGGCTTAGAGCAGGGGGGGGGCAAACTTTTTGGCCCGAGGGCCACATTGGGATTGCAAAACTGTATGGAGGGCAGGGTAAGGAAGGCTGCGTCTCCCCAACCAGCCTGGCCCCTGCCCACTAGCCACCCCTCCTACTTCCTGCCCCCCCTCAGAACCCTCAGCCCATCCCAACCCCCCCACTCCTTGTCCTCTAACCGCCCCCCCGGGATCCCACCCCCATCCAACCCCTCTGCTCCCAGTCCCCCTGACTGCCCCCAACCCCTATTCACACCCCCACCCTGACCAGGCCC